TCAGTGCAAATCAGAATCTCGCCGGACCAAGCCCCGACCCACCTCCTATAGCCCCAGCAAAGGGGACACCATCAAAACCTAGCACCAGATCGGGGACACCATTAAAACCTAGCACCAGAACTCCTTTGCTTGCCACGGTTGTCGGTGTAGCTTGCGGAATACTTGGACTCTCTGCTCTTGGGTTCTTGGTTTTTAGGCGGAGGCGGAGAGTCAAGGGCCCTGCCTCAAATAGGTCATAATCTTTACCAACACATTTGTGTCGTTACTTTTCACTGTCGGAGATCAAAGCCGCCACCCAAAACTTCAGCCAGAGTTTCGTTGTTGGTGTTGGCGGCTTCGGTCACGTGTACAAAGGGCATATCGATGGTGGGGCCACTCCTGTTGCGATCAAACGGCTGAAACTCGAGTCATCTCAGGGAGCCTGTGAGTTCAAGACGGAAATTGAGCTGCTGTCGCAACTCAGACACTGTCATTTGGTGTCTCTAATTGGGTATTGTACTAATAAAAATGAGATGATTTTGGTGTACGATTACATGGCACGTGGGACCCTCAATGATCACCTCTACCACACCGACAACCCACCTCTCTCCTGGGGATAACGGCTCCAAATTTGCATTGGCGCCGCGCGAGGGTTGTGCTACCTACACAGCGATGCCCAGGGCACTATCATCCACCGTGATGTGAAGAGCACAAACATTTTATTGGATGAGAAATGGGTGGCCAAGGTTTCGGATTTTGGATTGTCGAAAATGGGCACAACCACCATGTCCAAGACCCACATCAGCATGATCGTGAAAGGCAGTTTTGGGTATCTAGACCCTGAATACTACCGACGTCAACAACTGACAGTGAAGTCCGATGTGTACTCATTCGGTGTAGTGTTGTGTGAAGTACTTTGTGCAAGACCAGCTGTGGTGCATGCAGTGGAGATGAGGCAACTGAACTTGGCTGAGTGGACCAAGAGCTGTCATCACGACGGGGAACTTGATCAAATCATTGATCCGAACATGAAGGGTAAGATTGAAACCGAGTGTTTGAACAGGTATGTGGAAATTGCCATGAGTTGCATCAATGACAGTGGGATGGAAAGGCCGTCAATGAATGACGTTGTGAGGGGGCTTGAGTTTGCATTGCAATTACATCAAAACTACGGTGAAAGGAACAACGAGGATGTCTTTGCTAGCATGTCAGGTTGCACTACGAATGAATCCGTTCAGTGCATATCTGAAACGAGCTTCTCAGAGATCAACGATACGATTGGGAGATGATGAGCAACATTAGAGTAATTTGGCTAGACTTAAAGGCTATGGGTAAGCCTGACCATGATATGAGTGTGTTTTTTCTTATCTATTGTGTTTGAACCCAATTGAATGCTGAATCACTTGCAGTGCCTGCCATTGAGTTATATTGCAGAACTATTTCTACAAACGAACTGCACTTACGACCACACAATTGCGGGAGAAACTTAAAGGTGCTTCTAGATCGAACCGTTCTCTAAACAAGCACATGCCAAGTGCTTCTCCAAAAAGCACGCCCAAGCCTTTTTCCAAGAAACACTGATTTTAGTAAAACCTTGTGTATTTTTAATAAAAGCACTTGTCAACAAAAGAGCTTACAAAAACAGTTTCATATGATCCTCAATTTGGCTGGAATATGCTCCATTACAACTTTCGGACAAGAGAATTTTCCTGTTAAACGCAACAGAAGTTGCTACTGATATAAGCAGTAGATCATCATTTCGCAAGAGTATAATGTTATACCATTTCTAACCAACACGAGACTATTTTCCTGTCAAAATTTTCAAAATATTTGATCCAATTCCAAAATAACGGGGAATCAATAACACTCATTCGTTCAAACTCTCGTAAGTCAATCAAGCACCTACATTAAGATCCGCAAGTTTCTACCGAATAACTAAGCCTTGCACTGCCTGTGATCCATCATCAGCTATCCTGTTAGCTCGAATGGTGCTGATAACGTTTGCAATATTACCCTACCAATGAGAAACTCTGTCAAGATACAATTATATAATGAAGATTTATGGACAATGCAATACAAAGGGTGGTTTGTTATACTGTAGCAATGAATCGGTTCTTAGTGGTCAGTTAAAAATGAAAAAGCAGTTGAAGTTACTTACCCTCCAAGTTGCTAACTTTGTTCTTAGTGTAAGCCATTGTTCTTCCCCAAATACTCTCTCAGTACAGCGGCTGTAGATGAAAGGCCAATTCAGTTCAAGAACAAAGAAGCCTAAAAGAATGAATAAACAATTATATGCATCTTTGTGTGTACGCAGAAGGTACGAAACACAAACTAACCTCACAATCACCACTTGATTCATCTGGTCCATTTTACAGTCCATCAACTTAGCAGTTATTGCCTTTACCACCCAAAGTTCAACTTCGTCATCATTAATCTGCCAAAAATAATTGCATAAGCATAATTAACCATGATGTCAGTTTTAAACTTCTAGAACCAGAAAGGTAAGCCAACCTAACCTGAAGAGTATCCCTGATAGCACCGTAAGGAATCCGTCCAGATTCATCAGAACCAAGATCCATCAAGGAAATCAACCTCATCTTAGTTATGCAGTCTTCATGGACAAGACCTATAACATTTCAGAAAGCATAATTTAAACAAACAGAAAAATGTATATAATCCGAAGAAAACCCAGTCAGATGAAACTAAACTTTACCGTAGCTTTTCAGTAAATCAGAATTTGCAGCCTGAAACTCCAAGTAAGCATCCAGCCTCTGAGTCAGAAAGATCTTCAAAAGCTGATATGCCAATGCATGCTTAGCATCCTTCTCCAGTTGCTCTACAGCGGGCAAATTTAGCAAATCACACTGCAGCATAACAAACCAACACATCAGTTATCTAAATGCCTAATGGAAGGGGGGAATATGATCATCAGAGCCAACTGCCAAAAACCAGTTGTTTTGAAGTGATGAAATTAAGCCAGCACTCCGTCATGTTTATACAGATATTATATGTAACTGCAGAGGAAGCATAGTAGCTTCTTCAAAATGCCAGAAAAACAATAATATTTATAAATTACTTTATAAGAGTTGATTCTAAACTACTACACAATTAACTGGGTCCACCACACAATAGAATTTTTTAAACCAAAAAAAAAATATATACATATTTTGTAAATAAGGATGAACAGTCACCAAAGAGAAACATGGACTAAAGAATTAGTTCCAAAAAATTTTGAAATTCCACAAGATCCTACAAATATACCTGAAACATGTCTGGGGCCTTCACAAATTCCACAATTGTACGTATAGCTTCCTCTTTGGCTTCACTCAACGTATGCACATCTTCACCAGAAAATGTCGCCAAGTACTTGGTCAGGAATTTGAAAGACTCCTTTGCCAAGCTGAAAATACAACAGAAAATATAATTAACTGTTCTTAAAACAAACCGAGGAAAGACATGTACATATAGAAAAAAGATTACAAAGCATACTTTTTGTGTTCTTTCAGAACATTAGCGATTGTCAGAAATAACTGCCTCTGATCAGAGATCTCAATATTCCACTCTTTCAAAAAACTTTCCACATTTTTGAATGAAGGGATGACATGTTCAGTGACCTTCCCATGGATAGCCAAATTAAGAGCACTCAAGTAGACTAAGAACCGGCTATATGGGTTCTCCAGTAGGTTGTACAGATTGAACAAACTGTAAACAAAACAAAAACAGTCAGAAGTACATTCAAAATAATAAAAAGCTAAAGTCATGATCACAATGGTATCATACATCTTTAAGCGCAATGCAGGCTTGTCGGTTGGTTTTTGAGTAATCTTTGAGGATATAAGTTTTGCCATCTCCAGTGCTTCATCTGGACTTTCAGACTTTGTAACAACATTGCAGATAACAGTGAATATGCACTCAAGATCTAGAAGGAAAAAAAAATTCATGAATTTGTTATGATGAAAATTGACAAAACCATTAAGATGGCATTTAATTGTCGTTACTAATTGAATTAGTTGATACTAAGTCCATATCATCCAAAATTGTTAATAAGAACATTTTAAAGAATATTATGAATTTCAATTTCTACAATGGTAGAATCTACATAACTGACCAAAAACACATGCAGAATTTTGAAGTAATTAGACTAAGGAACTTCAAGCAAACATTGATACAATAGTGGATGAACGAGAATTGGAAGAAAAACCTCTGCACCGTTGTGCAATGCAATAATAAGCCTCTTTATCCATTTAAAGAGTACATAAACATCTAACAATACAGATTGTACCTTTTTCCGAGACCTTTGACAATATGACCTCAGCCGAAGTAAGCATAAGGGACACCAAATCGAACCACCTGTCCGTTACCACGCAATCTTGGGCTTCAGCACATAGTCTAGTAACTTGCGGCTCAGCAACCTGGCAGATAATCATGACAAAGATAAATCTCTTCCTTTATATGGAAATCAAAGAACAAGGGTCATTCCCTTGACTCGTACTGATGAGAATTTTACTCCATGAGAGATTGAGCAAAAAGTTGCTGAATTGGCCTACAAGAAATTCACCAACTTCCGTAGTGATATGCATATGCACAGTATCTATATACATAATACAGACAGGCGTATCTCGGATTTCTTTCGTTGGGCAAAAATGGTGGTGAAATATCAATTCTTACTTCACAATTACCAAATGCAGAATGCGGCAATACATTTGCCCAATGTTTTTGTCACCGCAAACCCAAGTTTCGGATTCGTAAGCATTACAATTAAAACTGAGTTTCGAGATTAAGCACGTAGTACGCAATAAAGGACAAAAAAAAAATTTTTAGGGGGGGAGGAATCCAATATCTAATCACAGATTAATACTAGCAAACCCAAAAACTCAGTTCAATTACTCGATTAAAAAAAACTGGGCAGAAGCATCCGACCCCCAAATTAGAGATGGAATAAATTACAACACAGTCACATCTTGACCTAAATGCACAGAGGAAAATGGGGAGGGAAATTGAAGGAGGAGAGAGAAGAGTACCTCGTGGCCGGCGTCGGCCCAGGCGAGCTCGGAGGTGAATCGGACGACGGCGATAGCGGGATCTTCCTCGGAGGTTGGCACCACAGTCGTCATTGTTAGAGCTCTCTGCAGCAGCAATTTGGTATATGTTTTGCAGCAGAGAGAGAGAGAGAGACGAAAACCCTAGCCGAGGCTTAAGTCTATCTATCAGTATGTTGGAGTTTCGTGTGCGATTATGGACGGCTATTATCGTCTATAAGTTTCGTTTTTACTCGGGGTCGTTATTTATTTATTTAAAGAAAAATCAGTAATTTAGTGAATGGAAGGTAATGATAACGGAAAATGATCCGGGGAAAATCATTTTCCAATGATAACCACCGTAGGTCCAGCAGTTAGAGACAAATTCTAAGTTTGTATTTTACATAACACGTTTTGAGTTTAATTTTTGGTATTGGTGAATACGATGGTCAAGGAAGACTGCAATGTATCTGTGAGTCTTCTCGTCTCCTTACGAAATGATGAACTGTTATGACGAAACAACTAGCTGATCATATTTAAAAAAAAAATGAAAGGTAATGTTTTTGTCCCTTAATAATATTAAACACTTGAAATCATACACGCTAAGAAAAGCTACATTGCATTTTTCTATTTTTGCTTTCCTTGTGGATTCAAAAATTGCAATACAATTTTTATTTTGTGGAGATTAGTTTATCTTCTTCAAATCATTGCGACTTAAGTTTAAATCATAATATAGATTAGTATAAAATATCGTTTGTACAAGCTGAAAGGAATACGCTTCTTTCTCTTTTCTTGTTCAATCTCTATTTATTTGGCTAAATAGTCAAAATGGTCCCTGAGATTTACATAACTCATTACTTTGGTTCCTGAGATTGAAAATCAATAGAAATGGTTCATGAGATTGTCCACCATCCATCATTTTGGTCCTTCTATTCAAAACACTTTGGGCAATTTTCAAAATTTCGTAACTCAATCGTTTCTTAACCAAATTTGACCCATAATTTATCAAAATGAAGATAGAAAAGTGTAGAACAAGATTATACCTATTTAGAAACTCAATGGTTGCCGGAGATGGCCGGAAAACTGGAAAACTCGTCCAAAATTGGGTAAACTTTAAATGTTCATAATTTCTTCAATACTCAACGAAATCGAGTGATTCAAAAAAGAAAATCATACTTCTCGACAAGACAAAGAGAATGGTACCTTTCTTGACTGCTAATTCACCTTTTTTTTTGGCTGGAAAACGGCTCGAAAATAGCTAACTATTTTCGAGTTAGCCACTTTTGAGCCATTTTCCGGCCAAACCACTGCATGTTAGCCATCAAGAAAGGTACCATTCTCTTTGTCTCGTCGAGAAGTATGATTTTCATTTTTTAATCACTTGATTTTGTTGAGTATTGAAGAAGTTATGAACATTTAAAGTTTACTCAATTTTTGGCGAGTTTTTCAGTTTTCCCGCGGACCTTTGAGGCTATTTTCCAGCCACTTCCGGCAACCATTGGGCTTCCAAGTAGGTATAATCTTGTTCTACACTTTCCTATCTTCATTTTGATATATTATGGGTCGAATTTGGTTAAGAAACGATTAAGTTACGAAGCTTTGAAAATTGCCCAAAGAGTTTCTAACAGAAGGACCAAAATGATGGATGGTGGACAATCTCAAGAACCATTTATATTGATTTTCAATCTCAGGGACCAAAGTGATGAGTTATGCAAATTTCAGGGACTGTTTTGGCTATTTAGCCCTATTTATTTTGCATGATCTTGGCTCTTATCTCTTTCGTTCTTTGCGCAGTTGATAGGATCCAATAATCCTCAAATGCGAACAAGAATTTGAAATGCAAATAAGAGATTTATCTTGCTAGAAATTTTAGCAATATCATTAATTTGATTGAGCTTAATTAAGTTCGAGTTTTAATCACAAATTCAAATTGAGTTTCAAGTTATATTTAGATGAATTGCAACCATTTGTGAATGCTTTTGTAGGAAGCACTTCTAAAGACGCTCTCAATAAACATCTTTTAACTTGTTCCATCAACCGTCACTAAAAACACTTTTAATTGTCCAAAAGCGTTTTTAACATTTTTAAAAGCAATTTAAAACGAACTTGAGTCAGTGAATGTATGAAGGAGAAAGTACAAAGAACTGTTGAACTAATGCATTATGCGTTTCATTTGGATTTAGTAATCAAATCTCCATCCATCATACAACATTACAATTTGCAAACATGACATTTTTGGGGTATATAGGTATTCATATTTCTGAATTATATATACACAATTATATATATATATATATATATATATATATATTATCATTGCTATTATTCAGTTGCTGATGTGATGATTTCTACAAAAGCAAGAATCAGTTCCCACTCCCACCACCAAACAAGTAGCCAAGGGATGATCCGCCGCCGGGAGCGGAGTGAACCTTGGTCGATGGACGATCCTGCATCCATCATGCACAACCAGTTTACAACAGATTCCCAAAATATTGTCATCATCACTGTTGTATGTATTTTAGACATCGTACGATAACACGTTGATACAATCTTTTCGCTACAACGATACCAACATGTTATCAATAATATCCACAGTTACAGAACGGACGCATGTGTCCTAGCCGGACTAGACTTGCACGTCATGGTTATGCAACAAAGACAGAGTTATAACCATAAGCCTATTAAACAAGTAGACTAATTGAAAGACTACGCACCGTGATGAAATTTCCGCAGTTCTGGCCATCAACTCGGAAGTAATTGTTCGTACGCTTGCTGTGAATGCCGGCTGGAAGCTGCTTATCGATCGGTGATGAAGCAGGAGCTGGAGCTGGAGCAGGAGCTGGGCTAGCTTTCTGAGGTGATGGTGGTGTGTTGTTAGTAGTTTTTGGGGTTTTGTTAGCATTAACATTCTCTCCACCTCCAAACAAATACCCCAAAGAGCTTTGTCCACCACCACAGCTGACTCCACGTCCACGCCCCATTTTTGTTATTTTCTTTTCCTATTTCCTGCAGCAAGTCCCAAACCAAACATGTTATTTCAAAGGATTGCGACATTCGCACTTGAAACTTCATCAAGAACGTGTAGAAATTGTTCACTAGAAGACCCATATTTGACAAGCAAACTGGGTAATGTATGATTTATATGGCATGATGAAGTATGCAAAACCTGGCTAGAAGATACCGATGAACGCTATATCCATACAGCAACAGATTATTGGTGCATTACAAGATAGTGATTTTTGGCACTCCTCATTTAGCCGTTTGCAGTCCAAATTAAATAGTGTGCGACTGTTTTCTGCAATCGGAGGAGTGCAGAGGCTAAACGAGGAAAATTAAATCAGTAGCCCTAGAAGAAAATGTACGACCTTACGAGGAACCACATGAAAGATGATTACAATATTGCATAAGGCATTGACATATTACCAGAAAAAAGGGAGAACAAACATGAAATTGGCAAAACAGAAACAAATGGTTCGGAATTCATAAATTTATAAAGAATAAAAGCTCAGATCATGGCAAAGAAAACATTTTATATCCCTATGCTTTATGGAAATTGATCTGAAAATTTGCATACATAGAAAAATAAATAGAAAATAGAACGAAAAAAATTGCATAGATAACGTACTTTGTTCTTGCTTCCTTTTGGGGCCTCAATTTTGGTGCCCTGCAAAAGCAACAGGCAGGTGTGTTCGTGTTTAGATTTTGTTTTCTAACCAAAGAGACATGGTCAAGTTCTGATCTGGCAATATGGTTTGAGTCCACACGTAGCGTGAGTTTGGATCAACGATCCCACTGATTTTAATTCACGTGGTAAGAGAAAATAATGTATCCTACAACTCACATTTAGACTTGACAAATAGGTCGTATTTGTATCGCTTTTGTGTCCTACACGTGTGCACCCCTTTATATTGATGAGTTCTTATCAGGTAATCCGATAAAAACCTGATTCATTAACAGGTCGTGTCGTGTCATTTCATTTCCGGTTAACGGGTCATGCAAACAAATTGCTATATCTAATGTCTAGATTTGACGAATGATATCTTATCAGACTCTTAACGGGACCTGAATTGCGAACGAGTTCATAGTGGGTTGATCCAATAACACCAAACTCATTAACGGATTGACCAGAAATCTGTTATGTTCAAATTGTTTTGTGTCGGGTTTAACTGGTCGTACACGATATTGTCAAACCTCATTCACGATTTTTCCAAATGAAAGGAAATCTCGAAATTGCACCGTACGCAAAAGGTTTGGCGTGACATGCCCGGTTTTTGTATGTTTACTCAAATTTGAAGTGTTAAGTTGCTAACTTCATTTGACCCCATAAACAATTCTCTGAACACTCTGACCAAATTGCATTCGATCGGAAAATTACCTCAACAATACGTCTTCTTGCCAACACGTATCATAAAACGAACACAAACACACGACTTTATCCTATAGCTATGTGCATTTATATGCTTACTCGAGATCCTAGCTAACGCAACTGCATAAATTACGGATGATTCCGGTGGCATTTTAATCATATGCCAGCGGAGATCGGAAGGGTTTTCTAGAGGACATCTAGCCGGGAAAAGGCGGTGTTTCTAAGTAGATGAAATCTTTGAAATCTCCACCAATAACTTGTGCAGGGCTTGAGGCTTTGAGAAAAAAGGCGAGTGATCGGCGCCTTTCAAGCGGAGGACCTGTTCCGGAGGGCTTTCTTTTATCATGCTCTCCTGGACCGTGATGGGTATGGCATTGTCTTCTGATGTCTCTATATAAAACCGCCTCACCAATCCATATTTCAAGTCGGTTAATGAGAGCTTCTCCAGAACCGGGGCAAATGGAATTGGCCTCATAGAGACGGATGCCAACGCTACATCCTGGAACAACATAAGCAAAAGGAAATTAGTAAAACTAATAACGAAAACGAAAAAATGGAAAACCATTTGCATGTTTTTCGTAGTAAGTTCGGTATGAAGTGAGGCATTACCTTGCTAGGACTTTGGTTGAATAATAAATCCTTCAACATTGATTTATCAAGATCAATAGCAGTTGGAGGCCGATCGTTCCCGTTTGCATACAAAAATACCTGAGCTTGTCGCATAAGATCATCTGAACTTGCCTGCAATAATTCTAAGCATAGTCACTCAAACAATTATTATAAAGGTCGTTCAGTTTATAATTATGAAACTTGTGTATAATAATAACTATCCCGCAGTTCAGATTCTGAATTTCATTCACATGAGGGAAAATTATAGATTTATCAAATCCAGCGACAAAGGATGAGGGAAAACCTGTTGGGAGAACATTTCAAGAGTACTTTGTCCATTCTTCAACATTGCCGCAGCAATAAAAATGGCCTTTGCGACTTTATGTGGAAATAACTCCATTGCATATGATATACATGCACCACCAAAATCATGACCCACCAATATTACCTGCATAATACAGCAACCGAAAGACAGAAAAAAAGTCATGTACCGAAGACATATACTAGTCCAATATCTATGTACCAAACAACAAATCTAGCTCATATTTTTACGCATGTCTTTAAAGCAAGTACATGTTTTTCAGTCATCACTGATTTAGTTTTTTTTATATAAACAACATTGAAAAACAAGATAGTTAAAAAGTATGAAAGGAGTGCAAAGTCACAAACTTGACAATGCCATAGATCTTGAAAGTCATACAAGCGGCATATCAAATTATCGACAAATCCCTTAGACAGTGAGAATAGTACAATATCAATTTCGCCAATTATAAGTGAAGTTGGCAGTGAACTATTGTTAAAAATGCCACGGTAAGAAATTCAAGCTAAAACAACATTACGAATAAGATAAAAAATTGGAATGCAATTGAATTTACCTTATTTCCCTCGGGAAGGTTTTCAAGAAAATCAGAAAGAGGCTTCACATATTGTGAAAGACTTGTAACGCTGTTTGTATCAGATGAATGAATTCCAGAGCCGGTCAAGTCTACAGCGGTAACTTTAAAACCACCCTCCTCAAGAAGTGCTATGGTTTTATACCAACACCAAGCACCAAAGCCACCTCCATGTACAAGGACAAAATGGTCGGTTTCTAGACCATCAAGTTTAACATCCTATCAAAACACAAAATTTGTTAGGACTTAGGAACCAAAAGAATTTCATCAATGCAACAACCGAGAACTCAATTGCGGAAACTACACAAAACTCAATCAAATAAGTGAAAAAATGGACCGTATTTGAACAATCACAACAAAGAAATTCCATACAACAACATCATAAACATCACGGCGATTCTCTGCGCCATTATTTACATGATCATGACAGTTTTAAACCCGCCATTATCCGACGTTCGAAAGATACACGGTCATCCTTAAAATGCAAGTTAATTTCATCCAAAGGGTAAAACAAATTCCTACATACGAAATTTAGTTAAAACAAAAATCCAACATCCTTAAATATGTACGCAGACAAACAGAGGCATAGACATGTACAGATATAAACATGCATGTATTTGTCAGTTTGCGCACGTATGTGATAAGAGAAAAACAATCACCAAGTTTACACATTTCAGTCGTCATTTCTTCAATTCCAAGAAAAAAAAAAAAGGGAAATTTTCTAAATAATCACAATCATTAATCACTAACTAACCCACAAACAAATCCTAAATTTCCAAAATACTCAGAAGGGAAATTGCAAATTAACTCCATAATCCACTCCAAGTTCCAACTTTTAATCCAAAATTAAAGAAATTTAATCCAAATTAACAAAATTTAATCAAGTCCCGCTAACACAAACCTGATTAACAAGCTGGTGGGGCTGGAGGAGGGGGTCGGTGAGGGACCTGGCACGGGAGCTGGAGCTGCGGGGCAGGGCGTTGCTGCCCTTTTTGGAGCTGGAGTTGGGGTAGCGGAGGGAGGCGGAGCGATCAAAGGGCAGAGAGCCGTTTTGCTGGTGCTGCTGGAACAGAATCGCGGCGGCGAGAGCTTGTTCCTGGATTAGAGCGTCCTCGAGCTTCTCTTTCCGGGAGGATCGCACCCGGGTCCAGCGGCTGCTGGAATTGGGTTGCGGCGGCGGGTTGGGCAGGCGCTTTATAGGCTTTCGCTTGGCGGGTTTGGGTGCGAGGATGGCGCAGAGGTTGCCCATTGTGATTGGTAAAGCATGTAGAGAGAAGTCAGAAGGAGGCAGAGAGGAGTGTGACAACTGATGATCTGAGGGAGTGGTGGCAAATGGCAGTTGCGTGAGTTGAGAAGGTGGGCTGCGTGGGTTCGTTGGTCAATACATGTGAGGAGGTTTTAATATGTATTTATAGACTAACAGAGAGGGTGTGGAATATATTATGGTTAGCAACTTCATAACTTTTTTGGGCTTTCCTCTCTTTTGGGTTAATACTCCGAACTATAAGTTCTTGTTTCGTTTTTTGGTCACTTGGTGATTAAGGTAACATTTTAATATCGAAACAATCAACTTGTTGACTCTAATTAATCTAATATGTAAACTTTTTTTACAATCCAATTCTCTATCTTTACAGTTTGAAATTGAGTATAAAAACAGGCATGCAACTTTACCGAACTAGCTTAACTCACGTTTTTTAGAAAGTAGGAAGTGGTTCACAACTCATTCAAGTTTGAACCCTATGCTCAACCTCACCATAATGCGTGAGATGGTAACTTGAAGCACAAATTAAGGGGAATTTAAATTTTGAATTATAGTTATCTTTTGCTATTTCAAACTTTCTAAAACTTTTGAGTTTATACATTTGAGAAATGTATGCTAAGACAAAAACTCTCATTCCTTAGACTTCTCCGCACATACACACATATATTATACATGATGAATCTTAGACTGTTGTTATTATCACTTCAAAATAGTCAACCTACACTAAAAAAATTTGGAGAGAAATGTATAGAAATATAGATTTTTTTTTCTATTTCAATCCTTGTTTACTTGCATTTTGTCTATATATAGATATTGGTAACAAATTCATTATTGTGTATCTTAAAAACACCAATAAACAACTATATATAGTATGTTAGTGTTCATATGAATAATTAGGTACCCACCACTCACTATTATATTGGAATTTTGTTGTGGCCTCGATTTTCTTCAATGATGATGAATTAGGGTTGTTAGTTGTGAGATGTTGCTAAAGTTTTGTATTATTTATACAATCGATCTCACTAAATGAGATAAGATTCTATCATGTTATAGAATTATGAAATGTAGTTAAGACCCACTCATTAAAAGTTCTTGAAGAATTTGGATACTACCATTTGTCTTAAAACTTGAAAGCACATGCATGCATACTTTGATTTGAATTTTATGGTGTGTCGGCGTTGGAAGTACACTTGACGGTGACGTTTTAGGAAAAAGACTAATTTCAGCATTTCTGGGGAGCATTTAATTAGTAGGTTTAATATGCTTTGCGGTTGTTTGCTTATGCAATTAATCAGGTAATTCCTTTTGCTGTTGTTTGCTTATGCAATTAATCAGGTTATTCCTTAGGACTAGTACTTTGTCAGTTTCAACGAAGTACCAACTACCCTACCGAAATTTACTCCATTCCAATCGTCACTGCAGTACAATACAACTTGATGTTATTGATTCATTCATTGTAAATTATTGATCCAATTATATTACGTGACGGTTTAAACCTCTTGCTTCAAAAATTACACAAAGAAGCCACCAAACAAGTAAGACGACAATTACAATCCACCTGAGCTCAGTCATTTGATGCACATTCAAAAAAAAGTATGGTTACTTTTTATGACAAACTTGAATGGTAAATGGGATACGGACATTAAATTTATCATAACAAGTAACAACTATTGGACTTCATGTGAATTGTATAAAAGACTTCCCTAATGTCACAAATTTCATGACAAATATGAAGGGAAAGGTGCCAGGAAAGTCACAAATGTTACAACCTTTTCCAACTTATAGCACGAGAAGAAAATAGATTACAACTTTAATCAATTCTGGTACCAAGTTTTTTTTAATGTTTGCCAAATTTCCAGTACTATCAAGGAAGAACTTTTTACGTTATTCTATTTACGAATAACGTATCTTGACCGAATAAATCAACGATCATAACCATTCAATTTATTAATCTTTATTTGAAGATCAATCCATTCGAATTGGAGATCGTTTAATTATTTACATACATCAAATAAACGGATGGTTTATCCTGAATATATTAGTTTGTACCTACAACAGTTTATCATGAATATGTATGTTACTTAGTATCTACACCGTCGATTTGTTTTATACATTTGAATGATTAAATGATCTATAATTGAAATGATTTTTAGTGGAGTTGATCTTTAAATGAAGATTAAGAAATTGAACGGTTAATTTTATGAAAATTGTATGGTTAAAATACGTTATTCACAAGGGAGAATGAGATCATCCCCAAGAGGAGAATGCAAGTATTATCCTTACCCAAAAAACATAATATTTCTTAATCTCCTTTCCTTTCTAATTTGTTTTAAGTATTAAGAAAGAATTGAAAAAGTTGTATTATTTTGTTTGATCAGTAGGTAGATGAATAGCATGAATGCTTTGGTTATATTAGATAAATAAAGTTGGTTGGGTCCAGAATTAAATTTTGATATATGTATTGCTCTTGCAGTAGGTGACTAGTAGTAGTACTGCTCGACGTTTTTCCCTATTAAGCAAGGCATGCATGGGGGTGGTGGAAAGTGGTGGTTGGGTTTACAGATTTCGTATATTAATGCCCATCCAACCTCCATTGTCCATGATCATAGGAATTCTCCAGGAAAATGGAGCACCGACTGTCGATTAATTGACGTCTCCTTCTTCTTTTTTTATCCGAATTTAGAACTGACAGCAAAAGATAAATTTATACATGCAGAAATTTTAATTAATTTTCCGCATCACCAACCAACTGCACACATATCAAATACTCAATTCATATGTCTCATCTCTCTCTCCACAGCCCAGCGGCCCCAGACGGTCAATTAATTTCTTTGTCAAGTTGTTTTGTCCCTAATTGGTACATTTATCAGAGGTAAGCTGCAGCAAAAATATATAAAAATGGAAAAAGAGAGTGGGCAAAGTACTGTGATTTCTTATATGAGAGACTATGTTTTGTGAAGAGAAAATGAGATGATGGGTAAGTTTGATCGGTATATTGCATCGCTTGGACATGTTTGAGACTGTTTATGTTAAAACCGAATTGCATTCGACCAACCCAAAGTGCTTTTAGCAAATACGTCTGATAGAAAACTTGAAAGTGTTTATAGGTTATAAAAGCGTTTTTTGGAGAAAAAATTCGTAAGTGCTTTTCTAAAAGAACTTGGGTTTTTAGTAAAACTTCAATGTGTTTCTAGTAGAAACACTTATAGCAAAACTGTTTATGAACAAAACTACTTCCTATAAAGAAATCTCATTCTAATATATATCTTGGTTGGTGTTTGGTCCATTAATAACACTACTGAACTCAAATGTTGGACTAGAGTTAGAAATAATTGGATACATTTGTCGCAAGTTGAGGAGAGATACATTATTGTGAATCTTGTCATTGATTAACCACGTGACAAGTTCTTATTGAACAGGTCGATCATGCTCTGAACACATGACAACATTTATGCCAAGTGAGACCACTAAAACTATGAATTGGTTACAAGGAAAAATCTCTCCTGACACACGATCCAGAACTGAGTCATTTACCAACCCCGTCTAATACTCAAAACTTACTCCAATGCCGTTCATATGCATATGTGTATATGCTTTCACTCTATCATATGGAAATCTGAGAATTAATGGGTAAATACGTCCACAACTCATATAAATTTAAGACCACTTATGCTTTCGATTCCACTGGGGATTCTGCAACTAGAGAAAAAGATGCACATAGGCATCATAGCAAAGCATATGTTAGATGGAAGCTACTACCTATAGCTTCAGTCAGCGGATGGGTATGCAGATGCAGGCAGAGCAGGCTCAAGAATTATCTAATAGAAAAGCTTGTGAATAGATAATCATGGCATGCATGATATGCACATGATCCTAATAACCTTCGTGCAAAGCTACATGTGGCAAAGACCCAATTGGCCACAACTCAGACTTTAAGAGATCTGAGCACATGAATGCGAGCTGATCATTTGAAGTAAAGAGCACAAGAAGTACTAGAGATATATAGAGCATTTCTAAACTTAGCAGATTTGTTCATGAAATCGAAATCTTTGCCTTTGGTGCCTATATTTTTTAACATTATTGGCATATGGTTGACCAGTGGTCCAAGGTTTCTCGGATCGGCAAGTCACTTGAAGAAAAGTTGGCGTCGTACAGTTTGATCTTGAGGCATCAATCATCATAGTTCGTGGGGGCATCTCAAGAAGTGGGATAGCAGTAGATTTGTACTTTGAGGGAATTTTCCAGGACATAGGCGTAGAACAATAGCAAGTCAATGAAAAATATGAAGGTAAAGATGTGATCGTGTAAGGTGAATGCTAAAGCCAATCTCATGTTTAACTATCATAAGTGTTCATAATGTTATATAGATGATGTGTAGGAATTTTCTAGTATAATCGATTCGTGATTGTAGGAGCTTATGTCAATGTAGGGGTGAGCATTTCTTAGGAGAATGCTAGAATTAGTCGCGCATGATTGATTCTTAGTTGTTGATCCCACTATAGAGTCAATATGCATATGCAAATTGAGAATCACCCAATGCACGCAAAAAGTAGTCGTAACAACTCTCGATCATGTTGAGGATTTTACAAGCCAATAAAAGGCAAAAGTTGTATACTATTGATATTTTGTTCAATAATACAATTATTCATCTACATGCATCAACAATCAGGAACTGCAAATAAATGGAAGACCGCCAATCATACAAGGCCCAAAACTGTTTGCCAATATATAACCCAATGATCGAGTTATGGCCCTGGATCTTACATGGATAGCAGAAAATGGGCCTAATGGTCGGGGGCTGAGACCTAACATTTGAGGTTGTGGGTTGGTCTTAATTGATTGCTGAAACGTGGTCATTAGTTGTCTTTGAAATCTTCAAAATATCTGCCCCTCCCCCTCCTCCTCTCCCTTCCTCTCTCTCGCTGAACTCAGAGGTCAGCTTCTTTCGCGGCGACGCTGGATACCAAAGGTCAAATCTTTCTCTCTCTCTCTCTCTCAATCTCTCAAATCCAAGAGTTTATATATGCATCATGAATCCATATAATATATTTATGTATTAGGTACTACCTTTAGCACTTCGATTTGCTCTGTTCCAAAGTTTTGACATTTGTTGGATGTTTGGATGAAATCTGTTTGTTTCCCCAGAAAATAACGTAGGAAAAATACCAACTTGCAAAAACTAAAAAGTTCGAATAATTCCATTTGGTTATTGGTTTGGTGGGTTCATTTACTATTCATTTGTTACATGGGAGTAAAATTGTCAATTCCAATGGGTAGTAGGTGAGTTTCTTGTTGGAGCTTGTAGAGAAGCACATTATTTTTTTAGATTATTCAAAGAATACGGAGTGCTTGGAGTTAATGGAAGAAATAGTGCAAAACGGAGCGCATTGGCGTTCTAGGATTCATACAGCTGACCTCACTTAGTTGGATAAGGCTTGGTTGTTGTTGTTGAATTCTCTAAAAATTCAATCAGCATAGCTTACATATTAATGTAGCTCATTGTGCGGATGTAATTCTTCAATTAAATTACAACCTCAGATGATTAACGTTTCTTGTACTTCAATTGTATTCTCAAATTTTCTTTCGGAAGTTCGTGTCTTTCGCAAGTTCAGTTGAACGACACTTGAGTTAATCCTTACTTTCGTAATGACTTATCGGACCAAACCAAATACTAACTTGAAATAGTGAATAAAACAGTAATGCAAGCATGAGAGAAGAAAATTTAAGGCGGTTCGCCTGTGTCTATGTGTGACTACAAGCAAAGGAAGTGGAAATTAGTAGAGATACAACCACCGATATATGGAGCAATACAATTACAATCAATCAGCAGTAATCAAGGAAAGAATTATGATTTAAATAAGCTACAAGATGAACTTCTGTCTTCTCTTAATTATTCACATTGACAGTTTCTTTGGATCATGTGGTGCATATAATGACTCGTAAAGTAGTTTACTTGCGTGTAAATAATTATCAAGAAAGATTACATTTTTCTCATCTTGTTGGAAAGCTCATTGTTTTCATACTGCCCGCAACTTGCAGGGAAGTAGAGAAAGGGAATGATCGAGGGTTCTGTAAAACGTGTGGAAACTGACCTTGTTAGACGGATAGTAGAAAGCAGTCATTCTAAGAAGATAATAGCTTATGATCAATAGTTCCTTTACAATGCCCAAGGGTGAAGTCCAATTTATTCTCTTAGTGAATGCAGGACCTCGGCCTTCCATTGTTAAAATTATTGAGACAGGTACGGAAACAAAAAAAAATCATGTGCAGTCGAATCAAGTGTTAAAAAAGAAAACAAGAAGGAGACATGGGAAGAAGAAGCCAAATTTACTGCAATATACAGGTCCAACTGAGAACCTGCCTCAGGAATATGGTCAGAGTGATGCTAATCATATGCATGGATTGTCAACCTTAAGTCTATTTGATGAAAGAAGTGATGATGTCGTAGTTATTTCATCAGGAGGTGTTAGAACCATGAATGAAGAGGACAACAGATCTGGGATTTCAAATCTCTCAATTGTAAGAACACCTGTTTGCGATACAGAGAAAAAGCTTCTTATTCTTGATATAAATGGATTACTTGCAGATATAGTCTCTCCTCCTCCAAAGGGACTTCCATCTGACATAAGAATTCAAGGACGAGCAAGTGAGAAACTTTTTTGTACTATTTCTTTCCTTATAAACTCTAAATGCTTTATTTGTTCTTCGTCTTTAATTGCGTCATTACTCTCTTTGTTCAGTTTTCAAGAGGCCCTTCTATCTTGATTTTCTTAAGTTCTGCTTTGAGCATTTCGAAGTGGGTGTGTGGTCTTCAAGATCCAAGTAACCTATAGTTTGCTATCATTTCTTTCTTTTATTTAGCTTATGTTGAATTATTTTTTATTTTAAATTCAAGAACTACTTTTATTTTTGTTTCTGTCTCTCTTTACTTTAGCAGTATGTCGGTTGTTATCCATTGGTTTTAGGAATAATTAGTGACAGCAATACCTATTAATTTGTTGAAGGAGAATTGTGGAAAAAGTGATTGATTATCTGATGGGTGATATGAAGCACAAGTTGCTGTTTTGTTGGGTAAGGCCTTATATCCATGTTCCTTTTGTGCATGATTTAGCTTTTGTGTGTAGAAATTGCAATAAGATTCTCTATTCAACCTTTCTTGCTTGCTCTTATCCTCAATTACTGTATGGGATGATCTTGCAATGAATGAAAATCAAATAATCTTCATGATTCGTATGTCATGCAAATTTGTCTACATATATTTACTATGTATATTGATTATTTATTTTATGTCCAGACAAGTACGAAGTCTTTTTTCTCAGCTAATTATCACTAGATAGATTCCTTTTCCTACCAATTGGGGCTCCTGAAACCATAAAATAGCTCGAACATTGATTTCCTTGCATCCGAGTTCTGGACATGTTGATGGATTATATGATGGCGTTGCAGGATCTATCCCACTGTACTGCAACAGGGTTCAGGACTCTAGAAAATAAGCATAAGACCTTGGTGTTTAAGGAGCTGAGGAGAATATGGGAAAAACAAGACCCTAGTCTTCCGTGGGAGAAGGGCGCATATAACGAATCAAACACAGTGTTGTTGGATGATTCTCCCTATAAAGCCTTGCTTAATCCTGTAAGCTCCATTTTAATTTATCTGTTCTCTTCTTTTGAGATACTTAGTTAAGTAGTTCTAAATTTTGGATTGCATTGAACTCCCGTCTCATAGGCACATACTTCAGTGTTTCCTTATCCATTCACGTTCCAGCGAGGGAGCGACACTTCATTAGGTAATAAAATATATTCCTTAGTACCTTACTGCTTTATTTCCAGAAAATGTACATGCACAGTAAAATGCACATTCTGCTTCTGTCGCTTAACCCCGATGATTTATATCTTTCTTTTTTCAAGTTTACACATGATAAAATTTTGAGAAACGTTGAGAGGGGATACACTTATGGGATTTTCCCAGTTCATTGTTCTTTAGTATGAATCGTCTGGTTCATTTGATTCTGGTTATCTGCACAAAAACAAGTTCTCCAAAAATTGTACTAAAAAAGATAAAGTTGTAAGTTTATACAAATTGACTTGCCAGCTACCTCCAATATATAGGAGATGGAGTTGTACATTACTTCACATTTTTTGCTTACTAAGAATTTTCATAACTTGTCGGTTAGAAAGTCAATGGCCAATGTTACGGAGAAGAGGAACTGAAATTAGGAGGACACCCTTTTGTTACATAATGCATCTAACCTGGTTCCATTCCTTGATGACAGAAATATTTACTTTGCACTTGGGTTGCATTGTTTTGGTCGTTTGGATGGTATCAAATGTCAATTCTTCAACAGGCTAGAGGCAAATGATAAATAAAAATGACTGTAATGTATCGCAGGTCCTGGAGGTGATATTCGGGTCTATCTGGAACGGTTGGCTGCGGCTGAAAATATACAGGAATTTGTAGAGCAACAGCCATTTGGCCAAGGACCTATTAATGAAAGTAGTGCATCTTGGCCATTCTACCTCAAGGTTCTTGGAAAGGTGCATACTATGGAAACCGCCAACATAACCTATAGTTCTACGGTGAAGCGTTAGGTATGAAAAACACATTACTTGTATTTTTGCCATGGTGATCATTTGTGTGGAACTCCTCTCTCATCCTCGAAAGGAGTATTCTTCCAAACCTTTGCCAAACAAGTGGAGCTGGTGATTTGCCAGAACAGCCGCAGCTGGTTGGAAATTTGACCTCGTAAAGAAACTGTAATTGAAGTGTTTAATTATTGGAACAAATACTGGAAATTTACTTTCTGGTGGTTCCATTTTGGAAGATTGTTATCATTTCAGATATCAGATATCGACATTCAATTCACATGGTGGTTTTCATTCATTTTTCTGGAACATTTTTAGTTGTTGCTGAAGAGGATTTGTTGCGTATAGAGGCAAGGAACATCTAAGAGTGTTGTTATCTTGCTCACCATATTTATTCTATCCAACTAGCTTCTAGCCTAGTGGTAGTTCTCTTTCTAATGTTTGTATACTTTTTACGAGAACTTCCTTACAGTGCGTGATTAGTTTGGACGTGGTCTCACTTTTTTCTAAATAAACGGTATTATCTACACTAAGGAGAGGGGGTTGGGTATAACCTCATAATGGGCTAGAACATGATGAATTAAATTTATTGAATGACATGATTGGGTTATCGCACTGCCATTTTTTTGAGTCAATTAGATCTGGATTTTCTTAAGCATGCACAATATTATAAATAATAATTTGCAAAATTTCGATAAATAAATCAATTATATTGAAAGAAAAATAGTTGATAATATTGAGGATCAACTCTTATTTTAGTTATATTTCTCTTCCTAACATTTGGAAAATGTTCATAGTGGAGTTTTGCATTCCACCTGAAAAGTTACACGATGACACTTAGACATAGAGAAAGATTAAACGAAATTAGTTTCTTCCTCAGTAAAGTCTACTGCAAAGAGACCTATCTCTCTACATGTGATGAACGAAAAAGTCACGTGAGGGCAGAAACATATTTAGATGTTGCATAAAACCCAAGATATGTGCAAGTTTTTCTCCAAGGCTTTACATGCCTACCATTTTAATATAATACCATAGAAAAACTAATAATATGTACCAACTACCAAGATATATACAACCTCCACGCAAGTGATGCCTGGAGATATTAGAGCATCCCCAATGGGGGTTCTATCATCTATGAGGCTACTACATTTTAAGTCTTAGTGAGAAATTTCATTCCCAATGAGCAAGAAAATGGGGCTAAATCTACCACTGGGGCTAACAACTTCCTTTCTTGGATAGCATAAAATCGGGCTACATCTAGCCCCAAAAAACAGTGAGTCCCACAAAAAAAGTAACAACCTATATGAGCAAAATTCTACCACTCTCCCTCCACTTGCGAATACACTTATACTCTCATTTTATTATTATTTTTTAATTCTTTTTTCTTACTTATTTTCTTGCAATTTGGCTAATTAATGATTATTTTAAATTCCATAAGAATTTAAATTTCAAATTGATTTAATGTTCATAGGCATTGGTGGATGAAAGTGCGGATGAAATTTTGAAATATTTTTTTTCAAAATTGTATGATACTAATTTACCAATTGGTGCTAGGTAAATTGTTGTGTTATACGTAAAAAATCAAATTATTTCAGAGGGCGAAGTGGGCACTTGTTTCTTTCAATAGATGAGATTGAGATAAGAGAATATAATCCAATGAACAATTCATAAGTGATTAAATTTGACTTTGTCACATTTTGAACTTTTTAGGTTGAAAGGTCCATAAAAATAAATTAAGATAACACGTCCAAAAATCAACTAAAGAAAAGCTAACACAAAAAATAAAAAATAAAAAATAAAAATCATCGCTTAATCAAATTACTACATAAATAAATATATATAGCCCTATATAAAACCCAAAACATATGGCCTCTCATTGGAAGAAATTCTTTTATAAAGCCTCAAAGATTCCTTAGAACTTTAAAATGGACTATATCCATCACTTTTCCAGCTCCATATACAGCCCCTCACCAGGGATACTCTTAAATAGGATGTAGTCTCTCTACCCGTGAGTGACATTGATTTTTCCCATACATGCTTTGGATGATAATTTCGCATGCACTGTGCAACAGAAGGGTGTACGAGTGTCGCTGTCTCCTGCACATTTTCATCGAACTTGTACTATGCCAATGTTTTCCTTAGTATCTCTGCCTAATTTTGGACAAAGCCACTGAGAAGCACAACTTGTGCAACCACTCATGACTTTGTGATGCAATAATGTTCTCTCTTACTCAACATTTTAGCTAGAGGTGTCGACTCTTCGACCATTATTTATCGAGTGCCCATATGTGTACTGTAAGTTTGTACTCGATTTCAAGGGGACTGACATACTCATGATGTAGCTGCATGGTTCACAAAAGTCGTTATGGCACTTCTGAATTCGTATGATGAAAACAAGGACGTACGTCTAACAACATATGGGGGGCCATGCACAAGGAAAAAACCAAGATGGGGCTGGGGCTCCAATGGTTTGACTAGGAAAGGGACTTGGATGTAACCGTAATATACATTTGTCAGATCACGCGATTAAATCACGTGATAAATGCTATACAAATATAAAATTATGTGATAAGTGCTATAAGAACATGAAAATATATCTCTAGACTCTAGCGATATGTAAGAAGCTCCTTCTAACTAGAGTGCACAGGGTCCATGAAACCCTAAGCATCTTTCTCGGAGATTATGTGGAGTTCATAAAACGCAGACGGATGAGGAGGTCTTTCTCTTTGAATTTTGCAGTTTTAGCCACTTGAAATTGTCAAAACTGCATCAGTTGGTGTTTTTATACTTTTAAGTATATACATTCAAACTTGATACATCAGGCATGGCATGTGACGTGGGCGACTTCCGATCCCAAATACCTGGCAAACTGATTGGATGTTTGGTGCTTGACATATTCCCTATCGCCAAATACCACTCTTCTTAGTACACGTGACGCTATTATTTTTGGTTTATAATTCTAATTATATTCCAAGTCCCTGCATTATGCATCGATCATGTGTATCTCTTGTAATAATTCCACGCTCGTTCTTCCCTTAAAAAAAAAAACAAAAACAAAAATACACACTTGATGAAGAAGCATAGCGTTGGCTTGTTTTGCTTCACAGAAAAACTAAAAATTAGAAAAAAGATTTCAAATAATTGAGTTGTTTTGTGGTTTTCTTGCACCCCAAGTTTCTGCGAGATCGATATATATGATGAAGGTTCTCACTCTCTCGTACAATTAGGGGATAAGATATGCATGGTGCATTGACTTCATTAGCCACATTGAACAAAACCCTCTAACATGGAACTATCATATATTATTCATACACGCCTTGTTTAATGGACAAACAATTTTGGGTCCTAGCCTCCATGAAATTCCTAATAAGAATGTGAATAGGAACCTACCCTACTACCTGTTTTTAAAATCCCTCCTTGTGATTCTGTGCACATATAATTGTTTATTTTGTGTACATATAATTGTTTAATTTGTGCACATATAATTGTTTATTTTGTGCACAATTAATTAAATTATTGGGAAATTATCCCCTTTTGTTGACTTTTACAAAGCTCATAATTTTGTTGACTTTCACAAAGCTCCTAATTTACTTATACAAGGGGATAAATTTTAGGGTTTAATTTATTGTTATATTCTTCTCTCGGAGGCAATATGTATATATATACACATAACTTGTAGTACAAAAGACAATTAAGGAATCCTAGTAAGTCATGTAACACTCTAGTAAAGACTGCATGTGTTAGAACATCTGCTATCTGCACTTTTGTCTTCACAAACGGAACTTCTGCTATCGACGTTCAATTCACATGGTGGTTTTCATTTATTTTTCTGGAACATTTTTATGTTGTTGCTGAAGAGGATTAGTTGCATATAGATGCAAGGAACATCTAAGAGTGTCGTTATCTTGCTCACCATATTTATTCTATCGAACTAGCTTTTAGCCTAGTGGTAGTTCTCTTTCTAATGTTTGTATACTTTCTACGAGAACCTTCTTATAGTGCATGATTAATTTGGATGTGGTCTCACTTTTTTCTGAACAAACAGTATTATCTATACTAAGGAGAGGGGGTTGGGTATAGCCTCTTAATGGGCTAGAACATGATGAATTAAATCTTCTTGCATTATTCAATGACATGATTGGGTTATCGCACTGCCCTTTTTTTGAGTCAATTAGATCTGGATTTTCTTAAGCATGCACAATATTATAAATAATAATTTGCAAAATTTCGATAAATAAATCAATTCTATTGAAAGAAAAATAGTTGATAATATTGAGAATCAACTCTTATTCTAGTTATATTTCTCTTCCTATCATTTAGAAAATGTTCATAGCGGAGTTTTGCATTCGACCTGAAAAGTTACACGATGACACTTAGACATAGAGAAAGATTAAACGAAATTAGTTTCTTCCTCAGTAAAGTCTACTACAAAGAAACCTATCTCTCTACACGTGATGACGAAAAAGTCACGTGAGTGCAGAAACATATTTAGATGTTGCATAAAACCCAAGATATGTGCAAATTTTTCTCCAAGGCTTTACATGCCTGCCATTTTAATATAATACCATAGAAAAACTAATAATATGTATCAACTACCAAGATATATACAACCTCCACGCAAGTGATGCCTGGAGATATTACATGGGATGTAGTCTCTCTACCCGTGAGTGACATTGATTTTTCCCATACATGCTTTGGATGATGATTTCGCAAGCACTGTGCAACAGCAGGGTGTACGAGTGTCGCTGTCTCCTGCATATTTTCATCGAAATTGTACTATGCCAATGTTTTCCTTATTATCTCTGCCTAATGTTGCACAAAGCCACTGAGAACCACAACTTGTGCAACCACTCGTGACTTGGTGATGCAATAATGTTCTCTTTTACTCAACATTTTAGCTAGAGGTGTCGACTCTTCGACCATTATCTGTCGAGTGCCCATATGTGTACTGTAAGTTTGTACTTGATTTCAAGGGGACTGACATGAAATCATGATGTAGCTGCATGGTCCACAAAAGTCGTTATGGCACTTCTGAATTCGTATGATGAAAACAAGGATGTACGTCTAACAACATATGGGGGGGCCATGCACAAGGAAAAAACCAAGAAGGGGCTGGGGCTCCAATGGTTTGACTAGGAAAAGGACTTGGATGTAACCGTAATATACATTTGTCACATCATGCGATTAAATCACGTGATGAATGCTATACAAATATAAAATTACGTGATAAGTGCTATAAAAACATAAAAATATATCTCTAGACTCTAGACTCTAGTGATATGTAAGAAGCTCCTTCTA